ATTAGATACTTTTTCTATTTAATCTTATGCGATTCACATTCGAATTCGATTTCCATTCTCTCGTATCAATGGCTCACGCCAAATTCATCGAAACAACGGCTGCCTCAAACAAAAGCCAACTACAGCGTATTCGATAGACTAAACCCGCATCAGCGTCAGCAGGGAAGCCGTAGAAGCTATTCTCGAACCGATTAATTGATCTCGAGTCGATGATGAAACGAAGCTCTACGCGGTTCGTTCAAACATTGTTCGATGATCTTTTTAATTAGCATCGAGTGGTAATACTCTGATCAGTGGTTCGTGCAACTTCCATATACATTTCCCTATTCTTTTTATTCAAATTTGACCAATCGTGTCATCCACGTGTAATCACGTTGATCGTGACGACGCTACTAACAAAATTTCTAAATGTCTCGAACAACTCAGGTCGCATATTTAGGAAAAGTTTCGACAATTCTTCGAATACCTTCGTCACGTTCTCTACATTCGATTCGAACAACAATCGGTCTATTGGGATAGCAACTAAGCGATTGCGGATTTTGTCATGACAACCTAGTGACAAAATCCGCAATTACTTAGTTGCCAACCCAATAGCTCGCAACCGCGTACGAATACGTTTGTTCGAAGGCTGTTGAACGACGTTTGACCACACAGATCGTGGTACGAGAGTGTACTATTAGCACAAGAGGGAACGAGGGAACTTAGTCGATTTCGAGGTTGCTAAATAACGTTGGAACAGCGAGGACGAACGGCCAGTCAGCGTAAACAGACCTAATTAGATTAATACACATTTGCGTTAACGCCGTGACCATGGTGCTGTAGCGGTGAATAACATTGGAACGCGTGGCCGGTTGGACAATACTCATAACGTGACTGACGTAACACCGCAAATTAGATCCGAAGAGAACAGCCGTGTGGATAGGCGTGTTAGCCCGGTTAGTCTATGGGAAACTTGGACTATTGATTCTCGCGATTACTCCGCTATTTTGGCTGAGTAGAAATGCATGTAGTATCGCAATGAAGTTGAGCTACAGGCAGGTTCTCGTGTATTAAATATAAAGCGAGATAAGTAGAACCACGTTTAACGAGAAATTTTATTAGAAGGAATAAAGAAAGTATAATTTTCAGAAGGACTTCCAGCTTCGCTTCTTTGGGGTCACTGGCTTCTCGAATATCTTGTTTTATAGCATTATGATAACTAAAGATAAAGTAAATTTATACGATAAGTAAATTTCCATAAGAAATAAAATGCTTCGTATAGCTCGATAGAATAATAACACGTGAATGTGAATCCTGAAACGTAATAAACGTGAAACATCTGCATGAGTCAGAATTGACCCAGCTTTCGAGGGCTGAAGACCACGTCACGCATACAACACATTCTTGCCACGTGTAGTGAAATCTCCACGTAGATGCACGTCGATCAAACGGTATCGATATTCCACTCTAAATATTTGATGTCTCTCACTGACCTTTTTCATCGCTCATCATGCTCGCGAATTTTCGCTTCTCTTCCCACGCAGTATCGCCAACTGATTTCTGCGAGAGAGCAAGCGCAAGAGCGAAAGAAGATGGCGAAGTTTCGTTTAAAGATGAAACGCCGCCGAGTCGATCCCGTCGAATGATTAACGAACTTGCAAAGTTCGAAGTTGAACGACACGCTGACAGCCTTGGCAGCAAGTTCGTTTGGAACAATTCGACTTCTGGCCTGATGGCACTTCGGTTTAACGCGAGCGCCAATCTATTTCCTGGGTCTGTACGATGGTTAGTATCGCACACGACCGAGTAGATATCGATCGACACGGTATATACTTGGCTGCAAATTGTGTCTGTACACTCCAAGTCAGCGGGTTATCGTCGCGACGTGGCTTCAAGTCTAAGGTCAGAGCTATTTCAGGAACACTTTGCCTTCGAACAGCGATGGATATCGAATGAAAAATACGCTGTCACCGTGATTCCTTCGCTATATCTACCTTAACTGCAAAATATAACTAACACGGAATATGAATATTAAAGCAATTTATATACTAGTCGCGCACTTCCTTCCATTCGCCTTTGCTTTCGACGACCTTCGCATAGTTTTTCTTCTTCATCTCCCATCCAGGCTGCTTGTCTCAGATTTATGGCCCTCCGTGGAGTCTAGACGTTCGCTTTGTCATATAGTTTCTTCCGAGTAATCTTGAACTACACTTACTTTCCTATCTTTAAAACAATCTTCTTTTTTACTTGCTAATGTTCATCCATCGTTGATCATCGTCTGGCAATCTACTTTAAAAACTGTACAGACAGTGGAAGCGAGCGTCGATTACGCGGACGAAAGAGACGCATCACGAGATGAGCTGCGTTTCAAAGTGTTTATAAGTGTGGCGATGTATGCAACGAGGAACGTTTAGGATGAGCGTCGACGAGATTCGACGTTGTCGGAGCCAGATGGCACGCTAAATTGATTTCGCTGCTACTCTGGATCGATTTGAATTTCAAATTTGAACGTCTAATTTGGCAAAAGCGGTCGGATCGTTCAGCCTGTCGGCTGTTACTCGATTATGAACGCGTATGCATAGAGGCGGCGAGGCCTATGGAAAAGTCTCGTCACGAACTCCGACGTTGTGCAAGTCAAGAGCGTGACGAAACTTTTATCCGAAAATTTTTCTCTACCCTCTCGTACATTCTTCGTGTATTTTTCCAATTTCTTCGACATCCACGAGCCTGGAAGTTATAAGAAGCGATGCTTAATCAACGTTTACTTTATCCGCGTAATTAACGCTTCTTTCAATGTTCCGCGAGTTTTGAGCGAGATTTCTAAAATAAATCGATCGATCGATGGATACTTTCAAGTAAACGAAGAGAGCGATCTTTTAGACAGACTCTGACGTCGCTCACATATGATTTGCATATGCTTACGTCAGAACAATGGCTACTTTTAATACAAAACCTTTAGAACAGCGTAGGATCATTAGTGAACATTCTCTACGCCACGATATTATAAATAACGACATTAATAGACATCGTTTGTTATGCTTGGTCAAGTTTAATATGTCCAACTCCATCAGACACGCGCCTTTACTTTATATGTCGGCATTTAATTCGAGGTTCGGTCATACCGATACAGTTGCTAGAACACGTAATGCAATGCAGCTTCGGTTATCCGACTGCTGTTTAACCCAAGTTTCGTATTATCCGAGATGCTTCGAACTTCATCGTAACTTCACTTTCCCGGAATTTTAACACGAAACATAGGAAAGTGTAAATAGAATCAGACATCGTGAAATTCATTCGATTAAACTTCCAACCGACTAAATATTCCATTAAACCTAAATACCTGTATAACGTTACACCATCGAAAGATTTCTATGATTTTATTAACGTCAATAAATCTTTCCATATTATCCCAAGTTTCCACTATCCGAGGTTCAAATCGACGTTCTGATTATCTACCCGTACGTCAATTAGACTTATTCCTCGATTGCCTGCTACAATAAAAGACAACTGCTGAAAAAAGAATATGATGCAAGCTTATGTACGCACGTATAGACTTGTAAATTATACTTACGTGCTTATACTACCGTTTAAACTTTGTGGAACAGTACTTAGTATCATTCTCGTCTCGACTTCTATGCTACTTTGGTATCGAGCGTTATTTTACGCGTAAAGAGCGTTGAAGTGGTCACCGCTTCTAAGAAAACTCTACATCCGATCTTTTTAGTTTTCTCAAGCACCGAAGCCATAGACAGAGTATAGACGAAAGACTGGGACGAAGGCAGACCATAAACAAGCGACGTTATAGGGTAACACTGCTAGCGTGCGGATCTGGTCCATCTCAAAATTATATTTCTACTTGTAATTGCACTTCTGTATTCAAATATATTTCCTACCTTACAATTTATCCACGCGTTTCTCTGTTTATACAACTAATAACCTCAACAAAGAGGAATCGAGCCAGCGAATAAAATTGTATGAAATTAAATCGACTATGACAAGAAACGTGCGATTAAATTCCTTTTCGATTTCATTCGGCGGCGAAATTTTCGTCGAAATTCTGTTCGAGAAGATGCATAATTAGTGAGTATTGAATGGGCGAGGGTGCATTACTCGACAAGGGAGTAGAATAGCTGGGTGTCGTTCGGTTGACGCGATACGTCGTAATTAATTATCGACATCGATATTACGTTACATTCGCTTGCTGGCTTTATGACGATATGGATACCGGACGGTTAGTGTAACGTTACCATAACTCGCGCTTATTGGATCCGATTACGAGGCGATCTACGGTAATGATCATAATGTAGAGAATTTCCACGTCGTTAATTCCACAAGACGATCAAACGAAATCTCTCTAATCAATTTCACGTAATCGATACGCAAACACGACGCGTGTCTTAAATTTGCGGCAATCCAACGGGAAATCGTATTCGCGGCATCCGTAAAACAATTACAGGGGAAATTTCCATTCGTATCTGTTAGTCGTTCATTGAACAATTATTGTATCTCTGGTTCCCTTGTTTTCCAAAATTATTACATTTCACGGACTCGTATTGGTTTCCAATATGGGATTTCATCAGAATGCGCGTTGAAAATATCAAATTATATAATTTTCCTGCTTTGAAACAGAGCCTTCGTTTTAGGAAAATCGTTTATCGAAGTTACGAAATTTATACAAATTACTTCTTGCTATCTGCAAATGGGAAATTAAGTCAACGAGAGTTGCTTAATTTTGTAAGTTATCCGGAGAGTGATGCATAAAATTCAACGGCGCCGAAAGGAATTCAATGGACTCGGAAAAGTTGCCAGAGCATTTTCATCCCGAGACCGGAAGTTCTTTTGATATCGCGACAAGGCAGGATCAGCGCGTACCTTAAAGCTGCGGGATTCTTTAGAGCTACGAAGTTTGGTCCAACTTTACCTTCGACTTTCGCCAAACTCGCCAGAACGTACACCCAACTCAGCCACCTTGTTACACGATTAGTAATCTCACGGTATTTTCTCTTGCGCTTTTCTTTCAGAAAGCTGATCCAGCTGTCGATCATCGAGGAGGATTCGTACGAGAAGGACGCGCTGTTCTATGTCGAGTTAGGCGAACCACTGTTACAAGGAGGTGAGTATCGCACTTTGCAATTTGTACATAATTCACCAACGATCGTAACAATATTCATGACGATATTAGCAGGAATATTAGTAAAAATATGTCGGGTGTACATTAGAATTAGGGTTAGGGGCGTAAAGCGAATCTTCGTTTGGATTACGCGTCGTCGTTATGCAATAGAGAAGACATTGGCTAGTGCAAATACGATTACCATAGAACCGGACAAATAACCGTGGTAATTAGATACTCGAGAGACTAATGACAATGATCCTAGGTTCAATAACGAATCCGCGGACAACGGGACGGTAGTCGTACGCACTCGCAAAATCTAAGTCGGATTCTGTGTTAATATTCGCTGACCGTAAGGAGTCAATCCTTTTTGTCGATGAGACCGCAAGAGAGAATGAATTTTCGTCCCGGTGATACCCCAGAGGAAAACTATAACGGGGTGTGTCTAAGGACACGAGATCATCGGATTCGTCGGGGACATCCTACGTTCGGAAAGTAAGGGAAATTGACGTTGCTGCTAATTGGCCAATCTCCATAT